TGCAGCACACGCAGACGACCTGGTTTCTGAGTATAAACCAGGCTTAAAGAGGGACAGAGATTCTAGAACTGGGAAATTCAATTTCCAGTCATCAGAAACCAGTCAGGCCTGTAAGTTTATATGGATTTCAGCCTCCCAGCCCGTTCAGGCCAGAAGGTTCCCTATAATTCTGATAATCATGTGAACCCTGGTAAAGTCTTCCTCTCATATTTACTGTATATAAAGCCCAGTGGCCTTCTTTGTATCTAATAGTTAACTCCTCTGCCTCTTAACGGGGGGTTTACCTGGTCGGGGACGCTGGAGATCCATCAGTTACTTATTAAAAAGCAAATTGCTCCATGATTAAGAGAGCAGCCTTTGGCTCGCTTCATTAAATGTCAACTGTCTATTAGAGACGTAGATATTCCCATCGACGATGAACCAAACGCCTCCATTATTCTCCCTCTTCCTTGAATTATTAAATACACACAAATTGAGTTTAGCAGGATGCATTTCCCCCAAAAGGTCAGGAGGTTCATTAACTCGAGCGCCTCGGCCATTGATCCCGTAGTCGCTGATGGTCTTTGACGCAGCGCCTTTCTCTCATTATTGCAAACATTACTCAAAATCCGACCTTAGATGAAGAGAAATCCGACTTCGTCTGGCCGACTGAAGGCTAATTAACCTGAAGGCTGCAGCGTTGTGCGGAAATTGAAACTTACCTGGATTTGACTCTTACTGTGTTTGTGTTTATTTTTAAAGCACCAATTCAGAACCCGTCATCACAAGCAGTGTTGTTTTCATCAACAATGAGGATGACAAAATAAATCTGATATCGTAGATGACGGGACTTCTGCTGAAGCTCCTCAGGAAATGTTATTAGCAGCAAGAACAGTAGTGAGAAAACGGTATCCATTCTTTGCCTGCTCTTTGCGTCAACGATCACGGTTGCTAGGCGACGGCGTATGCTGAGTGAGGGGCGGTTAGAGCTGGAGAAGGATGGACCAGTTTACTTTCACAAGCTGTAAATAAACACAGCGTTGACTCTACAGGAATCCCTCTCACTGAGCATGCATGCAGCAACTGTGGGGAGAAAAAACTCCTTTTAACGATAAAAAGCCTCCAGCAGAACCGGACTCTGTGTGAGCCAGTTTATGTCAAAGGATGAAAGAGAGCACATCCAGTTAATCACAGTGAAAGCTGAGTCCATAGCTACGTCTAGGAGAGAAACGGGACTAGACATCAGCAATTACCTTAGAGCAGCAACTGTTGCTGCCGTCAATCAGAGGAAGGTTATCAGGTCGCCTCCATCGTCTTCATCGTCCAGAGAATCTCAGACGGCCCGGTCCTCCCAGGAGTGGTCGTCCCAGTTACTCCACCTCTGACTCTACAGGTCTCAGTTAGAGGGTCAGAGGTCATGACCCTGATCCAGTGACCTCTTCTCTCTGAGCCCAGTAGTAAATGAATCTGCATGAACTGGATTTGCTTAAATCTGAGTCTCCAGAAACGGGCTGCATGACTGAACCGGACCTGCTTCAGAACCAGGACCTCCAGACGCTGCAGCAAACATTCAGTGATCTCCTCTCTCCTCCAGGTTCTCTACCAGCAGTTCAAGTTCTTCCTCAACCTGTACTTCCTGGTGGTGGCCTGCTCCCAGTTTGTGCCGTCGCTGAAAATCGGATACCTGTACACCTACTGGGCGCCTCTGGTTCGTAGCTATTTTCCTCCTTTTTTCTTCCAAGTGTTCAATTCTATTCAGTTTATTTCTATAGCATAAATTCAAAACACA